CTTCAAACAAACAAATTTCTATGCACACCGACACACGCTTCATTCATAATACTTTAATTTTCCTATTTTTTAACCACTTGATATAGTCTGACACATAATATTAAATAGTCAAATCTTAAATATAAATGTATGTTTGTACTAAATTTTCTAAACTAAAAAAAGGTGAAATTAGAAGATTTTAAAATATTAATTTTGGCAAATTACTGTATTTTAAATTTATAATGAGTAATTTTTTCATAATTATATAATTGTAAATATTATTAGAATACAATTGTTTATTTTGCGAGATCAGAAACTTGAAACATCGTTTGCAAAAATGTTTATTTGATATCTTACCGTTAATGTTTATAGATCTATTGCTAAGTGTATCTCGCATAACTTTGTGTTTCATTGATGTTTTTTCGCTAAGGTCTAGTAGAGAAAATAATAAACAAATGACGGCTAAAACAACAACAAAAAGAAAAACAAATGTTACAACTACTAAAGAACTAGCTAATAGAAACAATTACTGGCTTTCTGCTAGGATATCTAACAATGAGAAATATCTTTATATATGACATTTTCTCGAGTAGTCTCGAGCAGGGCGTGGAAGACTGTTGATTGCAGTGCCGCTAGGGAATGTGTTGATACTGTGTTGTATGTTGCTGTACAACAGGTATCATGCTACCTAACGAAGAATGAAATGGTTTCATTTGTTTTTAAAACTGCATTGACAAAAGTTATGTAGTTTTAAGAAGTCTTTCATCCCGAAGCTCTGCTCAAAAATGGTTGCGCTTTCATTGCGGTGAATTGTGATTTTTGGGCATGCCTTAAGAGTTAACTTTACTCAGTTACTGAGTTAGGCCTAGCGTAGCAGTGTGTGTACTGGCGTTCAACATGGTGTGTTGTTAGAGCTGGTACTTGGGGACCACAGCAGCCTTTGAATGTTTGTCAAAGTAAGGTGGTACACTTAGATTAAACCTCTTTCAATAATTGTTACTTACTCTTGCTAATATAATTAAAAGTAATTATTTCAAAATTTTTTAATGTGGTTTCTGTTATATATTTCAAAACTACAGTGTTGTAAGTCTAAAATATTTGCAAATTTACGAGTTGCTTTTCTATGTTTTATACATTAATCAATGATTAATTTACTTTATTATAGTGTAACTTATTTATTATATGCCATTGCAAGTATTTAGTTAAATTATTGTAAACTTTTAAGTTGACAGATGAAAACAGACAGTAAATATTATATATGAGAGAAATGAACACAAGTAAACCTTGTATTTTGAATTGATGATTAAAAGGCTTAAGTTCTATTAATGAACAAAAAATGCCTGTTTTCAGTGATTAGCATAGGATGTTTAAGAATTTTTTAATTTTGCATTAGGATTAAGTAAAGCACTTTGCAATGTACCCTTCAAACTTTGTTAATGGTAAACCACATAATTGTTTGGGACATATTTCAAAACATGCATAACTTTATCATGATTGCTCACTCATTTCATTCTGTTTGTGTTTATTTTAGGTAAACTATAAATGTGTAGTAATAAAAATGTCAAAGTTTATCCAGTTTTGTATATTTTGATAGCTTTGAATTTAACTGATTCAACCTTTTAAAGAGATGGACATGCAGTTTATTCAGACTTGTACTACATGGCAAGGATTTGTGATTGTGACCCTGAATCAGGATTGTTACTGACTATACTAGTTCCTTGACAATCAACCTGTTTACAATTTTGAAAGATTGTGTGTTTTTGAGACTACTTAGGTTTACCTTTCTTCTAAACTGTTTATTTTATTAAATCAATCTTACACAAATGTTCACTGTTACCTGATTCCTTTTATTTATTTCTGTGATCAATTTTACCATTTTCTTTCAGAAATTGTCTTTAGAGTCACACAACTGAATTTCTTGTTAACCTGTAAAGATTTGCAATGAGACTTTGATAAAGGATTAGCTATAATAATTATTATTTATTTACCTCAACTTTGCTTGGGGCCTTTCCTCAAAGGACTAATAACCATGCCCTCACAGCTCTTGTTTTTATTTTCTCCTTGGAACTGAGTTTCTGTTTCCATTGCTGTTTTGGATGGTTGTAATAAAGGCAGACTGCTGCTGTATTACAGTCTTACATAGCTGACTGCTGCTGTATTACAGTTCGACTACTGCTTATTGATGCTATCTCACATCCAAATAAATTGTTTTCATGCCTGATTTTACTGCTAAAGACTGACAAATGCTGACTAATGTTCTGTATATGAATAAATTGTTTGTTGTTTTTATTTTGATCACTGTGCACATATAACTATAAAGCACTTATCATTCACAGATTGAATTATTGGACCCAGGATTGCTAAATATAGAGGTGAATCAGGCTAATAGCCGCTGACTCATCATGATAGGTGATGGGTTTATTGTTAATATTTTAAATTTTTGCCACTTTTGGTTTCATATTTTATCCACTAGATTGATTGGCAGTTGGTCAGCATTGGTCAACCTCAAGTCTGAGTGTTGGGCTGTAAGACAGTGGTAATTGTTGGCCTGTAGTATGACCTGTTTTGGACACTTTCTTTAAATATTGAAACAAGTTCATAGTTTGTTAGACAGTGAGTCATGACATACAGAAGATGAATCTGAAATGTTTTTTTTTACTTGCCTCTGATTTGAATTTTTAATAATCAAATGTATCTGCAGTCAGGCATGATTTTTTTTTTTAAATATTAAACCTATTGAATTGAAGTTGCCTTTCAGTATTCACAGCATTCTCTATGCTCTACTTTAAGACAGAATTTTTGTTTTTTGTCTGTCTAAGCTTACACGTGTAGAAAAGAAAAATTTCCAAACAAATTAAGCATCTTTTTTTTTATTATTATCTGTAATATGTCTAATTTTATAATTTTTAAGGAAGCAGTTCTCAAGAAAGTCATGTGTTTAGCCACCCAAGTAGGTGACAAATGATCATGATCTTTAACATTCAATGGTGCTCTTACCATAACTTTTATTAAACTCATTATTATTAAAATTTATTATAAATTATCAAAGATAAATTCATAAAATTGTAATATTTCAGTTTTACAAATTGGCACTTGTTCAATTCAACAGTTGACACCCTCAGAAGCAGAAATAGAAGGTAAGTATGAAGGGTTTACAGTACATTATGGTGCTGTAAAGTCAACTGACATCAAACAAAAAGTGTTTAATAACTAAATTTCTAGTGTTTTTTGTGTGTTAAATAAAAAAAAAATATATTGGTAGTACTAACTTTCACTTAGTTATGTGCCTATTTTTGGCCTTAATAGAGAATTAGTTTATGTATTTACTCCATAAGTGTGAATGAAAGTTTAAGCTGGCATTTATCTATAATTGGCAAATTAGTACACTTAGGAAGTCACATGGTGATATTCTGCAGTGATTATTTGTCATTTTTGACAGTTAATATGACAGCTGACATCTTTCAGATTAACATGTTTTATACACGTACTGCCATTAAAGATGTAACACAAACTGTTTTGGCCAATTCCTTTGGTGATTAACCATATAATCAGCTGTAGAATAGTTGATATATGTAGTTAAAGTTTCTTTAATATCATAAGACAGTAGGAACTATGGGATATTCAAGAAAATTTGGTAATTTTGGAAAAACATAAACAAATTATAAACTTAATAGGATGGATAAATTATTGTTGCTTTCATTCACAATATTGATTATACTATTTAGGTATCAAATGTCATTACCTTTTGTTTTAGTTTATTGTTTGTTATTGTACTTTTATTATATAGATTGTTTTGCATTGTTAGCTTAATATATGTATTTAGGACCAACAGGTTCTAAGCCGGCTGAACCTCATGAGATATTAGGATTACAGCCAAAAATATTAACAATGAGAGTACCCAATTGATGAAACAGTGCATTCTAATCTTTACAAGTAAAAATGTAAGAAATGAATACTTAGTTAGCTATACTGATTGGAAGTTAATATTAATTAAATAGTTTAACAAAAGATCGTATAATAGTAATAATAACAGGAGTACTCGTATTGTAGTTGTCAATGTCAAGTATTTACAACTGTCTGTAACATTTTCTGCATGGGCAGAAAAATGTCAATCTTGTATTGTCTAAATACAGTAAATGTTTTTCTATATTCCTTAACTTAAAGTACTTAATGAGGATGTCCAAGTGAAAAGTCCTAATGAGAAAGTGAACACTTCACTGCACGCAAAGACAAAATTGCACCATTAAATTAAAACCTTATAAAAAGTAAATATGTACTCATTCTTCCACACATATTTTAAGTACTTTAAAGTTGAAATCTATTCAATAAAAAGTTTTATTCATGGAATTCTGTAGTATAAAAATGTTTAAATCTCAGTTTTAGATTTTACCTTGATTCAGGACCTGAATTAAAAGAGTTTTGGTTTTTCGTAATTTGTTTTTATAACAGTATGACATTCAAAGCCTCTATGATGAAATTTGAAATAGCTTGAAACATAATAGAGCCTATTTTAACCTTGTAACTTCAATATAAGTGTAATTTTGTCAAATTTAGCTAGTCACTGTTTCTTAACCTCAGTTGTTATGATGTGATGTAATTGCCTATATATACATATATAAAATTTGAGAAGCCATAGACTGTCAATCTAAACACATAATGAAAGCTCTTTCTCTGTTCCTTTAAACTTTGTAATGGCTTACAGTTCAGTGGAGAATTGCATAGAGATTGGAACAAATTGTTTAGCTTAGTGATATGCTGCTAGAAGAACATGTTTAAAAAAAAAACTTCCACAATTACCATTCTGAGTTTTTTTAATGAAGTGGTCTGAAAGCTGTGTGTCTGGCATTCACAATGTGGATGTACAGACTCATTTCAAACTCATCAGCAAGACAATCTAAGATTTCTGTGATGGCAAACTATTCAGATGATAAAAAAAGCTTGTTTATTTGTATGTATTAGTATATTTATTGTTACTTAAGTATCACATACAAGTACAAAAGCTCCTTAGTTATTAAAACAAACTTTAATTATTAGATAGAAATTGAGATTAATGAAAAATGTAGTTGGAAAAATATTGCATGTGTCAGTATAGGCCTAGGATATAAATACAAGTTGCATTTAAACCAGTCAAGACTTTTATTATTCATCAGTGTTTTATGTTATTTTCACTAGATAAATAGCCATGGCCTTTTTTTTTAAAGCTTGCCTTATCATTTTATGCTTCATTTGATTGTAGTATGATAGGAAAATATGTTTTTTGTGGAGCAACGTGAGTTAGTCTTAGATTGCACTGTTCATTTAAAGTTTTGTTTCACTGACAAGGCTACTGTTGTTAGGCAGTGTCTGTGTTAGGCATTTTTTGGCCTAACTAACTGTTTGATTGGACAGAGAAAATCACAAAAAAATTATAAATTAATATAAAATAGGTTTAAAACTTAATACATATATTAAATGAAACCTGATTAGCAATCATAAACAGTTTGGATTGTTTATGATTTTGGTATGGTAAAAAGTTATTTTAATTGTATATCAGTAATCAGAAACACATTGTAACTGCATGCTGTGTTTTAGAATCAAAACTGATAAAATTTACACACTTCTTTTTTAACCTCTTAAAGTATAAGAGTTCACACGTGCTTCTTGTATCAAGTCTCCCTTATATTATTCATAATTTTTGGAGACCAGTGAAGTTGCACTAGACAATAGATATATAACAAAATGAATAAAATATTGTTACACAAGCCTAATGGGCTAATATAGTGCCCATATATTTGTCTGAGCTAAAATAGCTACATAATATGTAGAAAACTTATCTCAAGTTTCAAATTATTTCAAACTTAAGTTCTGATTTTTTCTTGCATTGTAGTAAAACAAATCATAAAAGAGGTGCATTGAATCAACACATTTGGGTGTTTGTGAGTTAACATGCCTGCTGGTATTCTGATAATGTTGCATTGTAGTTTATCACATACGAGCTTGAGTTGTGTAAAGTTATCAAGTGGAGCTCATTTTCACAGCCCCTATGAAGCAGAGGGTCCAGGGGGCCACCATAGTATCTCAATTCAATGATTTGATGATGACACAGAAAAGTAATTTAAATGTAGAAAATGTCATGTTGTAAAATAGGCCTGCATAAACAATATCAATATCTTTAAATTTATGTATGCCCACGAATGTTTTTATAAAAATTTCTAATAACAATTTTTTCGCAACAAGAAAGTTGCTTCAGTTCGCTCCCCCTCAACTCAAGCCCTGATCACATAAATACCTTTCTCTGTATGGAACTAAAAGCCACTTATTAATATATGTAATTCAGTGCATTCATAGTACAACTGTATTTCAAAGTGATGTCTGTGATTTACAAAGCAAGAAATATCTTATCTTACAAGTAAATAAACTACATGTGTCAGATAAATGAAATCGTAGTAACACATAGAGTAACCTTTAAATTATGAAGCATGCAAAAATTATGTGGAGCAATTTGTGTAGAGAACCTAACTAATTTTATTTCTGGAAAGATTAGGTTCTTTGTTTGAATGTGCACATATTAGCTTTAACTCGTGGAAAAGTCTGTAAGCAAAGAATATAATATTCCTAAACGAATGTGTCTGATAGTTTCCTTTTCTGTTGTTAAATATTTAAAATGTATATTTATATATATTTATCAATAGTAAATTCAGGAATGGTGCTATTTTTATTATTTCCTAAAATTAATTGTAACTGTTTCATAATTGTTTTGAGTATTAATAATAATTGTTCATATGTACATATATCCTACTTGTTTGTATAAATATTCTGAGTCATATGTTATTTTCAAATAGTTTTCAGTATAAAAACCAGTTTTGATTACATATAACAATGATTTTATTTTCACTATTTCACAAAACTTAAAAGATGTTTAATTTCCATGGAAACTGGTGTTTCTAGATCATGAGCACCTGAATGAACAAAGCCTACAATAACCCACTACTGATGGTCATTCATATTTTAAAAGAAGTTTTTTTTTATTAAGATTTATGGTTAAACACCAAAAACTGGTAAAGCATTATAAGCCAATAGGCCTAATGTTTGTGCTAATCATGGATGAATTAAGAGGAATGTGAAAAAATCAGTTGCGGTATTTCTAACCAGGCTGCTGCTAAACCTGCACTGCAGAGTCTAGCCAACTGGCCCATATGCTAATTGCCCTAGCAACCAGATATATTCAAGTTGTGGTCTTACTATTCCCATTTCCTGATACTTTCCTGGTGAATTGCTGAACCAGGTATGTATACAACTGGTTCGATTCACAATCTACTCAGGTCAGATGACCCTCGGGAGTGGAATGACCACTAGCTAGGTACCTAAGTAATAAATCAGGGTACTAAAAAGTGTTCTGAATAGGGTTTGAACCCAAGATCTTCAGCTTACACTTGTTTCAGACTAATGTTGTTACCAAATGAGTTATTAGGACTCAAGTCCCAAGTAGATAACTCCCAGTCCTGGTCATTACAGTATTCATTTCTTAGGGCATATGTACTTTTAGCAAGAGTAATGATTTGCAGAAGTTTGGGTGTCCAGCATACTATAAGTTTAAACTTAAAACTTGTTTTAATAAATTTAATTTGTCTCAAAGAAACTGATTTTGTGGTTTAACAGAAAGTTGTATTACAACATAAACTAAACCATAATATGTGTGAGTATTATCAAGATAACCACACCCTGTGTATAGGAAATGCATTTTTCTTCCATAGTATTTTTAGATTAAGTCTTTGTATTATGTGGATTTTAAGACTATATAATACATTTCCAGAATTGTTTGATTATGTATCTTGTGTCAAATGTCTGTATTGTATGTTAGTTTGGAAAAAAAAAACTGTCATTAGTTTGTTGCTTTAGTATTATTAAAAAAACTAAAAGAAAAACATATAATTTGATTGTTTGTACTTTACATTTATGCCTTATTTTTAGGCTGGCTGTGAAGTGGAAGCAGTTAGACTTTTGTGGGACTTTATGATGTCAGGCTGGGCTCGCAGAATGCATAGAGGAGCAGCAACCATTGGAAATGTTGTCACCTCGTGTGGACATTCCACTGTTCCTTATCCTACCCATATGGAAAAGTAAGTTTCTGCCTCATGATTTGTTTTACTTCTTATTGGAAGAAAATGACATATTTTCTCCTTTTTGAAAATGTTCCTGCCATCAACTCTTGCAAAATTTATACAACCCAGATAAAAAAGAGTAGGTACACGTGAATTTATTTTCTAGGTATAAATAAGGTTTTGATTTACTATATTTTAAACATACTGTGCATTATAAACAAAGTAATGCATATGATAAATGAGTTAGGGAAAATTGATGGCTGAAAATTTTACTTTTGACTTGGTGAATGTACTTTTATCACTCATAGTAAAATTAAGTGTAGTTCTACATTTTGAAAGCAATACAGTTCCTTTATTTAATCTACATATTGTTCCTGAAAATTGATAATGTTCTAATTATGCATCTGTGTAATAGTAATCAATGAACATAATAAGATTAAATTCCAAGATCTCGTGGTCAGTGAGGTGCAGTATCAAAGATGGAAGCTGGAGAATGTTTAAAAAAAGCATTCAGCTGTATATCTATATTGTAAATAAATTTATAGTTATTGTGAGAAAAGAAATCTGTGCAAAAGATCATGGACGTAATTAGAGCAAATATTCATTCAAGTGTTTAGAAGAATGAGCAATGTATTTATAAGAAGCATACACATCTCTTTCAACCTCCATCAGAATAAGAGATTTGAAGTGTTCATGCATTAACATACTATAAAACCACTTTTTTTAATATGGTCACTTTGGAAAATACTCATTCATGTGTACATATTAAGTGTAACAATTTTGTAAGCAGCATACAAGTTTGAATGATGTTCAAAGGAAAAGAGCTTTTCATACAGAACTTGTTTTGATACTTCTGCTAATGTTAGCAGATATTCAATAACTTTGAGAAGTCTCTTATTCACATGAAATATTTCTCAAATGGACTGTGTTGTTGTATCAATAATGACATCGAAAACATGCACTTTAAACTGCATAGTTGGATTGTGTAATTGTTCCCTTGATTCATTCTCAGCATATTTATAAACCAGTCACTTTTTGTTTCTGTTTTTTTTTAAGCAATTCTGTTTCAAAGACCTCCTTAACAACTTTTTATCAACAAAGCATTTGAAATCTTAGCACTTGTCATTTCTTTTTCTAATACTTCTATAAATTCTCTCTGTAATCCATTCAACTGATATCCTGTTATGCTGATCATTTTTGGAGCTAAAAGTAAATCCAGCCTATTGGTTTGCAAGTACTTTGAAGTCTTGAATAGGTAATTGCAGCTAACTCAGTTTAAAACTTCATTCAGTTGTTCTTCAGTGTGCTAATTTGGCTTCAAATTCACAGGAAGTTGAACCATGATGGAGAATACAAACCAGTAGAATAATGTGGGATGGTTGTAAAGAATAATATTTTCCAATAAATTCTTCAAAAGCCATACATACTATAACTCTGGACACACTTGGTGTACTGTTGTAATGGTTTCTGTTGATTAATTATTAAAAACAATGCAAAATTCACTACACTTAATGAAAATGAAGTTTTTTCTTCTCCTACAAGTTCTATAAGCTTGCAGAGTGATAGGCCAAACACAACAGTAAGTCACTTGTTAAAGTTACTCTTGTATCTTTAACACAAACTTAAATCTTAAAGGCTAACAAACATGATAACCGATCAGTAACGTAGTAACAGACTCACTAATTAACTGACTGACTAACTAACAAACAAACAAACTGACTAGTGTTTTTATATTATTAGTCTCTCAAGTTCTAGAGAAATTGAGACATCACGTCAAATCTAGACACTAATGAAATTTAAAGGTATTATGAATCATCATTATTAAGTCATGCCAAAACTCTTCCTAGAAACCACTACAGAATGTCTACTGTAAATACCCATGTACAGTGAACATTTTGCAAAATTTATGGGCTCAAATATGAAATGTACACTATACGAAGGAACAGTAATCTTCATGTGAAATTTTCAGTTCGAATTTTGCCTCAACACATCTTACATTCTGAAGTAGTCATCGTTTATCGCTATCTGATCACCAGAAGTGAAAAAAAAAAGAATCATGATGAAAAGGAAACAACAGAAGTCTGAACTCGTGACATATACCTCTTAGGCTTCAAATCGTACATGTATAACTGGTTCATTTTGTCAACCATTTATGCTTATTAGTATTAGTATTTTGGCATTTTGAATACTGAGAATTTTAGAAATATTAGTCAGGTTTCCAAAACATTCAATTTAGTAATTGTTTTCTTGATTACTCATATTGTACTGCATTTTGGTATTATACATTTGGAAAATCACAATAAAAGCTTGTGCATATGTATTGGATGAAAAAAATTATTTTGGTGTACAAAAACTTTCAGTTATTTACCAAATAGGATAGGATAGTAAAATCATCATACAACCCAGCACAAAAAGTTCCCAAAAATCAAAACAGTTTTGGCCAATTATATTTTTGCTGATTATTATTACCAAATACCTGCATTTAAACTGTGCAGTTCCTTTTTTTTTACAATACAGTTAAGCATGAACACAATCATAACTATATACAATTCATTTACTTACAGGTGTTTGTTGTTGAGAAAATGTAACGTTTATTACATTTATAGAAAGGATCCAAAATGTTTATTGAAATATTTCAAAGGTACAGAAGTTTTTCCAAGAGAGTTAGTACGTTTCACTGAGATGAAGCTTGCATTAGCTTCATTTAGAGATAGGTTTGACATGCAAATTGAGAAAGATAGAAAATGTATTAACTGCCTTCTGTGACAGTTTTTAATAATACCTTTATCACGTCAAAACTTTCCTGAATAAGATTTAAGATTCTCAGAGTTTGTCTCATGAAATTTAGTTTCTTTATTTTGAGTTGTTTTGAAGATATAATCATTTTAAATGTATAGTTATTGTAAATAAATTTTCAGAGGTGTACACTGTTTTGTGGATAATACATTTGACTTAATACAAAGTGAAATGATTTCTAGGCAAAACTTTTCATACATGTTAAAAATGTTAAATGATGCAAACCAAAGGTTTTTCATTGTGACTGATGTAAAGACACCATGATGAAGAGACAATCTATTCATTATCATATAAAGTAACCAGATTAAATCTCTTTAAAGATTCAGACAAAATAAAACTAGCATGAGATATGACTGAACATTACAAAGCCACATTCAAATTCTTCAGATCTCCAGTTTAGCAGGAATAAAAACCCAGCGCTTTCACTAAAGGAGAAATTTATGTGAATCAGGATCCTGAAATCAGTGTCTATGGTTGATTGCTGGTTGAACATGCTCTTTTTGTTCCTGGATAAGTTAAAATATTAAGTGTAATAACTGTAACATTTGTTCAAGAAACTTCACAATTGCAGTACAATGCATTACTGTACAGTAGCATGTGGTACTTTTTATTTTGTTAAATGCTCTATAAAAGTTTTAGAAAGTTTGAGTGTTATGTTTATGTTTTATACAGGTTTGATTGAGTAGTCAGAATTTATGTATTGAAAGAAGTAGCCCACATGTGTAGAATAAATTGTGTTAGTTAATCAATTAAATGACACTATGTGTCAGTGTCGTGAGGATTTTAACACCACATCATAAAGTTGTTTTTTGAATTGTGGGAATTTCTGTTGGGGAGTTGCTTGTTAAAGTATATAGATATATTCAACAATCTGTTGGTGAGTTACTTGTTAAAATATATAGATATATTCAACAAACTATTCTATTAAATTAATATTTCTGAACAAGTCTGTGAAACAATTTCTTTACCTCAAAATAATCCAGTTTGTTGTTGGGCATATATCATTATTATAAATTCAGTCATAAAAAAGAAAAAAAGGCAAGCTCTTTTTCAAAACTGTTTATGTTGTTATTTATTCACATGTTTTTTATTATATGAGTAAACATGCAACTCTTCTTGGGAATCACTATATAGTTAGGCCTAAGAATTTTTAGTAAAACAACCCTTTTTTTCTGTGTTGTAACTCTTAGCAAAGGAAAGTACTAACCAATGCTTATTGGGGTTTTGAAAGTGTAATTCGAAACAAAAGTAAGGAAATAAATTAAAAACAAAATGTATTAAAGATGTTTCTATCTTGTTTAATTGTAGAATTGTAGGTATAATGAATTATTTATGTTTTTTTGGTAGCTTTTAGAATGCACTCTTTCCCTCTTTCAGCATAAATTATAAAGGATTTGTCTATTGTTTTATCCTACTTGCCTTTTTTCCTTAAGTACCAGGAGTGCTTATAATTTTTTTTTGTATATTTTGTTTGTATGTAAGCTGAAGAGTTTATTATTCAAATATATAAAAGTTACATAGTATTTAGATCTGGAGTATTTTACTTGTAAGATTTGTCTCAAGCTCTTTGCATTGATATATAATAAAGAATTTTTATATGTTTGTGTATACATTATTCTAAACAAGAAGAAAACATTTTGAGCTGGGTTGCAACTCTGAAAATGATATATAGTTTTCTGGAATAAAACATTCATCATTTATCAAATATTTTATAATCTACCTTTTCTACAAAGCCATATTCATAGAAATGACCATCATTAGGCTGTTATGGTGTTAGACTTCATTGCCATTATATTTCACTGCACCATTAAGTTTACATAGCTTTTTCTGTATAAATAAGAGAAAACTTTGTTAAAGTATTACTCAGTAGTATGTCATACCTTGTCAAACCAAATGGATGTGTCAGATAAGTGTCACATAGATTGCATAATCTGTTAATCTGGTTCATTTACATAAAATGTTGACTGAACTAACTGCGATAAAACCTAAGCTGAAACATGTGTTGTTTATTTGCGATGCTTTCAAAACATGCACTAAGATTTATCCTGCTCACCTCTTCACTATTTTACCAAGCATGGCAATTTTTTATCCTGGCAGATGTGATTGTATGATCAACACTTGTGAATGTTTAATGTTCCACAAATGGATTGATAATTGTCAGTCATCCTCTACAGTTATATCCAGTCTGCCATTGTTGATACTGATCTTGTAGCCAGAAATAA